CCACTTGTCGCTGCAGTATTGCACACTGATGTTTCAAAATTGTCACCACTTTCCTAAACCTTCCAGCTAACTTCAAACCCTCCACTGGCTCGAGCTAGTAACTTTCTTCTTTAGTGGTTTGATAGTGTTCTCTGGATCTGAAGACCACGCCTTCTCCCCGTGTCCTTTCCCAGCCCCGCCATCCTCTAAATACTGCACGCAAGTCACCCTGTTGAGCTCCGCGGCCCTTCCTGCCCCCACCCCCTGAGCCCGCCTTCAGCGCGCGCTCTGGCAGTTCCAAGGACTTCGCGGCGAATTCCTAAGCTCTGTGACGTGTGAGCTCTTTGGAAGGGCCAGAACGGGAATCTCCACTCGGCGGAGAGCCGGGGCGGCGGCGGAGTGGACTGTCGCAGCGCGGAGTTCCTTTGGCAAGTGAAGAGGGGAGGCAGGAGCAGCCAGACCGGCCAGAGCGCGGCCTGGGGCCCTGCTCGTCCCAAGCCGAGGGTGACGCGAGCGGCCACCGCCGGAGCACTCACTTTTTAGCGCTTGTTTTCGAGCACCGCACCAAGCCGCCGCGCTGCCGGAGCTCGCCAGCGTGAGTCAGCGGGGCCCGCGGGAAGGCAGACGGGGAAGGCTGGCAGGGGAAGGCGGCGAGGGCCGTGCCGGGGCGACCCTGCCCGGTGCTGGCGGCCGCCCCCTCCGCAGCCCGGCAGGTGAGCGCCCGGGCGGCCGCGGGGTGGAGCCACGCTCCCGCGGAGCCCACGCTGACGCGCGCACAGGTAATGGCCTCCCCGGGACCCCCGGGGCCTCCACGCAGCGGCCTCCCGCCTCCGCCCGGCGCCCCGAGCCTCCGTGCACGTGCGGCCCGCCGCCTTTGTCCCCTCCCGGATGGCGCCCTCGGCTCGCTGCGGAGTCCGCGTCCCGCCGCTAGCGGAGCGCGTCCCTTACCTAGCGCCTGCGGACCCCGGAGGCCGGGCGGGGCGCGGGGGCCGCCTGCCTCTCCCGCGGCGGCGGCCGGGCCTGCGAGCCGCTGCTCCCCGGCGCGCCTTTGCCCGCACCCGGCCGCAGCTCAGCCCCACTGCTCCCGGCCCTCGGCAGCCCCGGGAGCCCCGAGATGGCGTTGGCGGAAGTGAAGCCCGGCGCGGGGGTCGGGCCCGGCTGGTCATCAGCGCGGGTGACATGCCTTTTTCCCTCTTGTTCCCAACCCGGTGCACCGATTAAACTAAACTACCACCCAACGTTTCTCCCTTATTAGCTGCTTCGATGGACACAGTGGCGAACTATGCCACTGCAGCGGAGTAATTTGTTGGGCAGCCCCTCCCCCCCGTTTTTTGATTCATATACAGTTTACACATACCGAAAGCGCCCGATTTCAGTGTGTGCACATTGGTGGGATTTGGCAAATTCTGCACCGAGTAGCCACGTACCTCATATATTAGGTGCTTTCCCTTTGCGAGGGCTGCTTCGCCCTCGGCCCTCTCCAACCCCCTCCAACCCCCTCCATCGCTCTGTTCTGATCGCCCCCATAGCTGTTGGGCGTCTTGTAAAACTTAGTGAGATGTGCTGATGCGTCAAGTACTCTGCTGCTTGTTCGGCGGCTGTCGTGGAGAAGCTGTCGTGCTCCTGGTGATTTTAACTGCTTTCATGACTGGCTGCCAATAGCCACACGTGGCTGTTGAGATGTGGCAAGTTGGAATTGAGGCGTGCCCTGAGTAGGTGCACCTGGTTTCCTTCTGAAGACTTGCAACGAGAGGATGTCAAGTGGCTGACACAAGAACGTGTTATAATGTAAATCGGACAGTCTACTGATGTTAACGTCCTTTTCTTTAAAAGAAGTGGCTGCTAGGAACTTGACTGTTCCATACTTGGCTCGTGTACTATTTTTCTCAACAGAGCTTTGCACTGCACCGTTTTATAATACACACTTGTTTCTGCTCACTGCATGTAAAAAGTAAAGGAAAAACTAGAGCCCCCGCGGGGACTTCATCCCGAGTCCAGGAAGTGGTTTAAAGCAGCCTGCCTTTCCCTGCAGCTAGAAAACTTTCTGGCAAACTCACTTATTTGCCCTCCAAGGAGTGGAAGCACTGAGGCGTCTCAGCATTAAGTTACGTTTTTCAAAAAGGGTTTCTAAACTACTGAATGTGCTTTAAAAAGGCCTCTTACATTTTTCAAAGTTCTTAGAAAACAAGTATCAAATCCAGTTACCTAAATATATCAAAATTCAACATGTACTTTTGAACAAATAGCTATCAAAATCTAGATCTGAACAGCTAAGATTTTGGTCATAGTTGAGATAATTCAGTGTTACACCCTGCTTTTTTTTTTTTTTTGGTATGCGGACAATTCTTAGGCATAATGTAACGTCAGCAACGTCACGCAAAACTCCAGTTTTCTTAACGGTACCTGCATGGCATTTTTTGATTTTGCTGGTTTTACAGACAGAAAGTAGAATGGGGCTGGAATTAAGGCATAATTGGCACGACGTGCTTGCCCTTGAATCCCACAAGGAAGCTGAAGTGTGGGAGCGGAGCTCGGCGCCTTGCTGTTCAGTTCCCCGAGCACAGGGTCGGGACACTGTGCTCTGACTGACTAGCAAGGCGCTGGCTCTGCCAAGATAACTGTAACCTAGAGTAGCTTCGGGCAGGGATACTCTGGAGTTCTCAGCAGATCTTCCCAATGGGAGCATTGTCATTATCTCATGTGCTGCAGCATCGAGGACTTTGAGGCTTTGAGAAGCTGGAGAATTTGCTTTGGATTGTAGCTGTTTAAGTGAATGCAGCCGACTTCAAAATCTGGTTGAATGTGCAGCTCGGGCAGTAGGGCTCAAAAGAGAGGAATACTCAGATACATTGAGGCTCTAAAGAAGGAGTGTTGGGAGGAGGCTTGAGAACGTTTTTTAGGATGTAAATGTTGACGGGTCTTCAGAAAATTCACATGTGTGTTATGAAGAGCGTCTCAATTTCAAAAGTTGTACACCAAAATGACCTTTTCTTTGAAAGAATGCTGATTAGGGAGAGAGAATTGGGAGAGCTTGACTTGCAGCTGGGGGTGGGGGTTGCTGATCCTACCCCCGCTGGGTGGCAGAGGCTCAAGTATGGGAGCTAAGGCCTTAGCTGGAAGGTGGATCTGAGGCAGGCTGGACAGGACTCGACCCAGGCGATCCAATATGGGATGCAAGCAAACCAGGCAGCAGTTTTCTTTTTTTAAATAAGATTTGTTTATTTTTATTGGAAACTCGAATATTCAGAGAGGAGGAGTGACAGAGAGGAAGATCTTCCGTCTGCCGATTCACGCCTTAAATGGTTGCAACGGCCAGAGCTGAGCTGATCCGAAGACAGGAGCCTCTTGCCGGTGTCTCGTGCAGGTGCAGGGTCCCAAGGCTTTGGGCCGTCCTTGACTGCTTTCCCAGGCCACAAGCAGGGAGGTGGATGCCAAGCGGGTCGGCCGGGACATATACCGGCACCCATTTGGGATCCTGGTATGTGCAAGGCGAGACCTTAACCATTAGGCTATGGTGTCAGGCCCCCAAGCAGCAGTTTCAACTCACTGTGTCACACCTCACACCTGGCTCCCACATTTGTCTCTTAATTAATTTTCCAAAAACTTTTTGAAGTATTCTCATGTAGCTCTGAGAAATGGCCAGCTGTTTGGCAGGTGAAGTGTGATCAGTTGTATTGTGTAGGGAATGGCAGGCTGTGAAACTTAGCGCAGGCATTTGAAATGGGGTGGGATGCATGTTGCATAGCTTTGGTTTACTTGCCCTGATCACAGTCGACAAGTTCAAACTGAACCACCTTTTAGATGTGAGGTCTTTTTACAGCTTTAAGTCTTGTTTGTTTTAAAAAGATGAGCAGGGCAAGTTACAAAATTGGAATGACTATTCTTTTGGAGGCAGTCGGATAAGAAATGGGTAACTGAAATCTTTCCTACTTAACTGTGTGTGTATGAGAAAGAAAAAGATGGAGAGAAGGAAGCCGTGCAGTCAGTGGCTCACTCCTCAGCTGAACACCACAGCCATGGCTGGGCCTGTCTGAAGCCAAGAACCGGAAACCTGGTTCAGTTTTCCCACATGGAGGTGGGAACCAAGTCAGTTGGGTCATCCTCTGCTTTCCTAGGTGCATTAGCAGGTGCAGGATGGTAATCGGCACATCCTGGACTTGACTCCCACTCTGCAAAGGGATGCCAGAGCTGCAATCAGAGGCTTTGTGTATTATGCTGCGCCACCAACTCCGTGTAAAATACATTTGTGAATTTGCAATAGAAAGTGGGATTTGTAGTCACTAGCTTTTAGTAGACTCTTTCTCCTACTTAGTTGTAATTTTAAGATTTTATTTGTTTGCTGGAAAGTCAGTTACAGAGAAACAGACAGAGATCTACTATCTGCCTGCAATGGCCAGAACTAGGCTGGCCTGTAGCCAGGAGCCTGGAGCTTCTTCTGGGTTTCCCACATTGGCTGTTTCCTCCTGCTTTCCTAGGTGCTATTAACAGAGAAGATTAGCCTGTGGAGCCTTGGCACTCGCCCCTGACCCCTGAATCCCAGAGAAATTTGATTTTGCAGGTTGCGGTTTGTCATAATAGGGTTGGGGTAAATGGAAAGCCAGGGGTACAGAGTTGGCCACTTGGCTTGCCGAAGTGCCCCCTGCTTTCTATTTAGCACCAAAAATGAGAAGGCCAGAATTTTTGTTTTGAAAGTTTCAAGTAGGGGTCAGCACTGTGTAGCTGTGGGTTCTGCCGAGGCCTGCCATGCCTAAGTCCCAGCACAAGGTGATCCGGTGTCTGGGCCGTGGCACCCTCAGACTCCTGGCTCCTGGCCATTAGCGCCATTTGGGGAGTGAGCCAGCAGATGGGTCTCTCTTCTCTCTGCAGCTCTGCCTTAGACTAAATAAATCTCTAAACAAAATGTTCAAGCATTTTCTTTAGGTAGAAAATTGCAAAATGCTTTTGAAAGTCTGGTTGAACACACTGTCTACTGATTTGAAAACATGGTTCTGTTTTCTGACCCTTGATCTTGTGTCTTGCAGAGCTGTGTGGGTGCTGACACCCAGCCGCTTCTATGCCAATGAAGTACATCCTGGTCACTGGCGGGGTCATCTCTGGCATTGGTAAAGGGGTCATCGCCAGCAGTATCGGGATGATCCTGAAATCATGTGGACTTCGAGTGACTGCCATCAAGATCGACCCCTATATTAACATCGACGCGGGCACTTTTTCACCATATGAACATGGTATGCAAGAGAAACCACTTTTTAAAAGGTTATTTATTTTTACTTGAAAGAATTACAGAGGGCAAGAGAGAGAGAGACAGACAGAGAGAGATCTTCCATCTGCTGGTTCACCTTCCTAAGTAGCCACCGACAACCAGAGTCAGGCTGGACTAAAGTCAGGAGCCTGGAGCTTCTTCTGGGCCTCCCATGTGGGTTCGATGGCCTAAGCCCCTGTGCCATCCTTTGCTGCTTTCCCAGGCCATAAGCAGGGAGCTGGATGGGAAATGGAGCAGTTAGGACATGAGCCGGTGCCAATATAGGATGCTGGCACTGCAGTCAGAGGGTTAGCATACCATGCCACCATGCCGGCCTGAGAACCACTTCTTTACTAGAAAGCATTCAGCTAAATTGCACTTGTTTGTTGTGTTTCAAGTAATATTTTTAGGATATAGTCCAAAAATACAGTTGCTGGGTCATACTTTAGAAAATTTGGGCATTGTCATGGCTATTGATACTTTTTTTGTTGTTTTGTTTTTTCTTCATTTTATATATTTATTGATACATTTTGCATGTTGATAATGACATTATAATAAGTCAAACTTTTGGAAACATGACATCTTCTGCAGTATGGGTTGTTCTATTTTTTTTTTTTTTTTAATCATGAAGTCATGTATTTCTTTTGACATTTCAACTGCCTGGGGTAACTAGTATTAATGTTGACATTTTGAGATGTGTACAAGTAAAAGGGCGTTGCCTCTTGCATATTATTTATAATATTTTTGCTTGTTTTCACTTGATTTTTTTGTCTTTTACATCTCTTTTTTTTTAAAGATTTATTTTTATTATTTTTTTCATTGGAAAGGCAGATATACAGAGAGGAGAGACAGAGAGGAAGATCTTCCGTCCGATGATTCACTCCCCAAGTGAGCGCAACGGGCCGATGCTATGCCGATCCGAAGCCAGGAGCCTCTTCCGGGTCTCCCACGCGGGTGCAGGGTCCCAAGGCTTTGGGCCGTCCTCGACTGCTTTCCCGGGCCACAGGCAGGGAGCTGGAAGGAAAGCGGGGCTGCCGGGATTAGAACCGGCGCCCATATGGGATCCCGGGCGTGCAAGGCGAGGACCTTAACCACTTGCGCCACCGCGCCGGGCCCTACATCTCTTTCTTTTTTAACTTTTTCCGTTTTTTATTATATTTTTGACAATCTTTACATAGTTAATTAGGGTAAAAAGGTTCAAGAGCTACAGGAACGTGGGTAACACTATTATTTCCATATTGTTTCCTTTATGTATCTGAGGTAAAGGGGGATATAAGGGAGAAGCCCCACCCAGTCTCCCACCCATCCAGGTCCCTGATGTGGGGTATGCTCTGAGGGTCTTGCTCGTGTGGTTTTGAGAGTTCAACAGTTATGAATCGCTGCCAATTTTGCCACTCCAAGCACGATGAGGTCGTTGAAGAATCCACTGATTGACATAGTCAATCGTAGAGTCTCTGTTTGCCCTGTTTTTCACTGCCAACATATACCTGAGGTGGTTAACTGACTTGTTCTGACCTGTCTTTTCATGGTTAGGGTTCTGAGTCTGGCAGTTCGTTTGGGGAGATCCCCAAAGAAACTGTCTGAGGTGTTCCCAGACCAGATTCTTGTATGTACTAGCAAGTACAGGACCCGGCACAGTCCATCGCCTCAATCAGCTGGTTGTTGCAATTGCTGGGTTGGTTCTGTTTCCAGCCCTGACTTCCACTGGAACCAATGGGTGTTGCAGTCCAGCCTGGTGCTGCCCAGCACATACTCGGACCTCACATAAACTAGTGGGAGCCGCAGCCTAGTTGGAGCGACCCACAATAACCCCCACCAGGCCCGCCCCCTACCCTGGTTTGCTAGTATGTGTAGCAGACTAGTCCAGTCTGTCCCACATCTCTTTAGGTTCTCATACATGTCAATGGGTGTTAAAGCCTAGTTCCATCTAACCAGCTCAACTATCCAGCCCTCACCAATGTTGTTGGATGCCTCTCTGTCTAGCCACCCCAGCCCCTGTCCTAGTTTTCGTGCCCTCCGGTGGGAATGGTAATACAAGTGGGAGGAGCCCACTCTTTCCCTCCCAGGCCACTCCCACTCCCAGATTATGCAGTCTCCAGGTGGTTCTGTGGTCTAACTTGACAGAATTAGCCCCCAGTGCCAGCTTCTGCCAGTTGATGCTGTAGCTAAGCCCAAACAATCCTCACCCACTCTAATTTTGTTTGCACCAGTAGGAACAATCAACCCGGCCTGGCTTTTCCCTGATCTAGTCCACATGAGGCCCACAGGTGTTGTAGCCTTGCCTAGTCTGGTCTGCCCCCATCCCAGCTAATGCTCTCCAGTGGGAGTAGCTGTCTGGCAAGGGAACCCCCCCTTATTCCCCCTGCCTACCTTGCCCCCTCGCTTCCTGGTTCTTACGTGTGCTGGTTGGGTGCTGCGGTCACATCTGGTACAGGTAACCTCACCTTGGCATTCCGTATTGTGCACCGGTTTTTGTCATGACTGAACCTGGCTCGATCCATACTCTGTTCTGGTGCTCGGATTCACCAGTGGATGATGTGAACTGATTCAGCCTGGTCTGCCCCCGACCCATTTGTTTTTTCACTTGATTTGAAAGGCATGCACACACACTCACACACACATACACAAGTAGGGACATCTTCCCACTCGCTGCTTCGCTTCCCTGGGCCTGGAATTGCTGTGCTTGAGAACTGGGCCTGAGTCTCTTGTGTGGCTGGCAGGGACCAAGGACAGGAGTCATCAGCATAGCTTCCCAGGTGCCAGGTGGCAGGAAGTTGGGTTGGAAGGGGACAAGCTTGGGTTCTGGCCCAGGGATTCCAGTATGTGACACAGAGGTGTCCAGTGGCTCTTAACTGTTGTGCTGAATATGTACTCCTATAGAGGCAGTTTAGAAAAAAAATTCCATATACAGAGAAGTGTATGACTTAAAAAAAAATAAAACGTATATACTTTCATTGGAAAGGCAGATTTACAGAGAGGAGAGACAGAGAGAAAGAGCTGTCCACTGATTCACTCCCCAAGTGACTGCAATGGCTGGAGCTGAGCTGATCCGAAGCCAGGAGCCTCTTCCGGGTCTCCCACACAGGTGCAGGGTCCCAAGGCTTTAGGCTGTCCTCGACTGCTTTCCTGGGCCACAGGCAGGGAGCTGAATGGGAAGCGGAGCTGCCAGAATGAGAACTGGTGCCCATATGGGGTCCCAGCGCATGCAAGGTGAGGACTTTAGCCGCTAGGCTACCATGCTGTGCCCCTTACTGTTGTTTTTTAAAGTTTAGTAACCTAAAACAAAACAAAAATTAGCTGTCTTGTCTTCATTTGTTTCAAAATATTATTCAAGCACCTGGCTTTCATGGAACATGAGGGAAAAATGAGTGTTTTGTAAGTCACCGAGACATTGAGGTTGCTTGTTCAGCAAATTTTGCTAATGCTGTGTGTTATACCAATTTTCCTTTGTCTTTTAAAAAAATTTTGTTTGGAAGGGAAAGTTAAGGAGGAGGTGATGGGGGAGAGAGTTCTTTCATGGGTTGATTACTTCCCAGTTGAACACATGAGGGATGGGCCAAGCTGGCACCAGGAAGGAGAAACTGTAACCAGGTATCGCATGTGGGTAGTGGGGCCCAGATACACTGGCTGGAAGCCGGATGGGAATAGGAATGGCTTAATCTGTTGCCATAAATCCTGTCTGGCTTTACTTTAATGATTAATACACTGGCAATTTAGTTTGATGTAAGGGTAAGTATGTAATATGTATACATATTTCTAAATATTCATTTTTCTGGATGGCTATCTATTCCTAATAGAGCTTATTAAAGATTTCACCCTGGGGTAGGTGTTACAGTGCAGTGAGTTAAGCTGCTGCTTGGGATGCCAACATCCTGTATCAGATGCTGATTCTGGTCCTGGCTGGTCCACTTCCAACACAGATCCCTGCAAGTGAACCTGGGAAGCAGCAAAACATAGCTGAAGTACTTGAGTCCCTACCGCCCATAGAAGAGACCAGGCTGGAGTTTGTGACTCCTGGTTTTGCCCTGCCCAGATCTGGCTATTGTGGGCATTTCCGGGGAGAGAACCAATGACTGAAAGATCTTCCTCTTAAAAAAAGAAACAAAAAACAAGACCTCATCCTTTCCCCCTGACTTTTTTTTTTAAAGATTTATTTTTATTGGAAAGGCAGATATACAGAGGGGGAGAGACAGAGAGGAAAGACTTCTGTCCGATGATTCACTCCAGCAATTGCCGCCTTGCACACACCGGGATCCCAAATGAGTGCTGGTTCCTGTCCTGGCTGTTCCACTTCCCATCCAGCTCTCTGCCTGTGGCCTGGGAAAGCAATTGAGGATGGCCCAAAGCCTTGGGACCCTGCACCTGCGTGGGAGACCTGGAAGAAGCTCCTGGCTCCTGGCTTCAGATCAACTGAGCTCTGGCTGAAGTGGTCACATGGGGAGTGAATCATCGGATGAAGATCTTCCTCTCTGTCTCTCCTCCACTCTGTATATCTACCTTTCCAATAATAATAATAATAATAATAATAATATATATGTATATATATAAACATACATATATACCAAAGGAGCTGCGTAGTCGCTTAAAAGGCTAATCCACTTGCAAGTGCTGGTATCCTGTATCGGTGCCAGTCTGTGTCCTGGTTGTTCCATTTCTGACCAACTCCCTGCTTGTGGTCTGTCACATCAGTAGAGGATGATCCAAGTCCTTGGGCCTCTGCACCCACGTGGGAGACCTGGTGGAGGTTCCTGGCTTCAGAGCAGCGCAACTCTGGCCATTACAGCGTTCGGGGCATGAGCCAACAAATGAAAGATCTTTCTCTCTCTCTCCTTATCTCTGTAAATTTGCCTTTCTAATAAAATTAAGTAACATTTTAAAAATGTGATAGGATGTCAGAATTTTTTGGTGTATTTCCATGAATTGAATCAAATCACTACATTTCCCCATGAGGATAAGGGAGATGGTGATTGGAATCTGGGTTATGGATATATCTGTTACCAGCTCTTTAGTGAAAAATGGGTCCATCTGTGACAATTAATGTACTGTTAGCTAACTTTTAATTTTCACATTGCCTATTTTTATCTTAGGTGAAGTGTTCGTCTTAAATGATGGTGGGGAAGTTGATGTAGACCTCGGGAATTATGAGAGATTCTTGGATGTCAATCTTTGTAAAGATAACAACATCACTGCCGGCAAGATCTATCAGCATGTGATCAATAAAGAGAGGCGTGGGGACTACGTGGGCAAAACTGTGCAAGGTATTGGCCCCCACCCTGCCGCAGCGCCCACGTGCTGGCTGCGCGTGTGGGCCTGCACGATGGCTGCTAGACTCTGCATCTCTGCAGGCCCTGGGTTTTTAACCCTTGAAAAGCCCGAGTTCTTTTCCTCTTCACATTCCTGAAAAACCTCAAGCGTGTCCCAACCACGATCCTATTTCCAGTAGTCTCCTCCCTCTCCGCCACTAATGCCGGCGTTCTCCTTCTGATTCACGTTTTCTTTAGTTCCTGTCCCTCGGTGCCTCCCCACCTGTATGTAAGTTTGGCTTAGAGAATTGAGAGAGAACCCTTTGGCCATCATCCTTGCCTAACTGGGATGCAGCCGCTCTTTGCTCTTTCAGCACCAGCTGTCTTTTTCTTGCTTTGCCATCGAGGCTTTGCGTGGATGACGCCAACTCCCCTTGAGGACAGCTGGCTTTGCCGACGGAGAGGAGGATGTGCGGGTAGGCTGCGGGCTCCTCGCTTTGCTTTCACATTTGTGTTACAAGAGAAATGCCCCTCCCTCCCGCCTTGTACCTTGGCAGTGATGTGGTCATGTGATTTTTGTTGTGGGTAAGGGTGATGCCCTCTCCCCAGCCACTGTAAGTCACTTGCAACTTGGACGTGGCTGAGAGGGACACATAGAGATCAGAGAGCCAGGAAGCAGAGATGAGCTTGCGGTCTGGAAATGCAAAGTGGACGCAGTTCTCCCCAGTCCTCCAAGTCTATAGGAGTCTCAGGGCGAGCAGAAGAACAGGTGTTCAGTTAGGGACACATCTGCATAACCGGGATATGAGAAAGACATCTATTGTCTACTGAAAAACGTGACTGCAAAACGCTTCTGTAAACTGAGCTAGCTAGCTGGCTGGCTTCATCTTCCGGCTATTAGGCAGAATGCAGTTCCTAGTCCATTCAAACAATTGCCCATTGGATAGTTCAAAGTACATGACACTTAGACTAATGGGTCTCCAAGAACTGTTATGAGATCAATCAGAGACCACACCAGACACAGAGATGTTAAAGTTTGGAACTTTAGTTTACTGGTTAGGATAGTCAGAAGGGCAGCCTCTGGTAAAGCTGGGGGAATCTGCCGCGCTGGTCCATAACACCCAAGGTATTTTTTTTTTTTTAACCCCAAAGTCATAGGCCTGTGTGAGAGCCAGAGAGATGACAGAGACACAGGAACGTCACCAACAGTCTTACTGTTTCTCCTAGCATGCCTGGCAGTTGGGTTGCAGATGCTGGACCTTCCTCTGGTCCTCATTAGCATGCAGCTGCAGTTTCCCTTGACATCCTAGGCCAAAACACATCTCCCTGGTGCGTTTATCCCCACCTTTGCCAGCCAGCTGGTTGACCGGTTCAGAGCCTGGGAGTTCCCATGCATCCAAGAAGACTCCAAGAATAACTCCAGGAGGGAAGAGTGCCCGACCTTGAGAAGACAACAGTTCCTGACAGTTCCCCTTTTGTTACAGTGTGCCAGTGTTAGCCTCGTGGTTGGCTAGTTTTTCATGCCAGTGTGAGCTTAGACGCCCCCAAGAGTGGCCACTCGGGGCTTTTGCCCTCTTCCTCTTGCACGTATGGGATAGCCCTGTGAAGAGACTCCGGAGCTCAGAGTCTGCCTCTGACTCATTGCTGCGATAGAGTCAGTTAACTTGCATCAAGCTATGTTGCAGCTAAAACTGGACTGGCTCTTCAGCTAGCATTTGCCCCCAAGTGGAGAGCTTGGGAAGACCTGGCGGAGGGAGCGCTGCTATTTCAAACCTGCCCTGCTCCAGTGATGAGGATGGAGCAAGGCTCCTGGACCTGGGCTCTGACCTTGAACCCCTGAGCTGCTCCCACGGAAGTAGAACCCAACAGACCCCATGTGATGGTTGGACAAGTGTGCGTGCATAGTGCGCGGTTCCAAATTCACCGATACTTGGCGCCTTTCCCTCGTCTCCTGGGCACAACGAGTGTGAGGTGCAACTTTGTGTTCTCTCATCGCGGCTGTCATTGGCTCTGCTTCATGTGCCAAGCTGTGGCCAGGCCCCTGGAGCCAATGGACATGTCGTCCTTTCATCTCCAACTGAGTCAGTAACTGTAAGTTCTGTGGTTGATTAGCTTCAAGAGATAAGCATAAATGTTATCATTTAAATGGCTACACCCACATAGCCTTAGTACACGCTGGGGAGACACAGTGCTCTCTCGGGAACACAGAGCACGTGTTTATGTGAATTATCGCTTCTCTCTGCAGTTGTCCCGCACATTACTGATGCTATCCAGGAATGGGTTATGAATCAAGCCAAGGTGTCCGTGGATGATCGTAAGGAAGAACCCCAGATATGCGTTATTGAGGCAAGCATGAAACTTTTCTTTTTACAAACTTGGGTCCTGCTGGGTCTGTAAGCATCTCCTCTGCATTCATTTAGCACATCCTTGCACATGGCATTCTGGGTACTAGACAGCGACCTAGCAGGTGGGGCTCCAGAAGGGGGTGGTATAGATGGTCCCTGCCTTTGCAGTCACAAGTTGGTAGGCATGATGGGCATTGAACAGATAACTACCCATGTTCCGAGGGTGTATGTGTGTGTGCAGTAACCTGAAGGTGGAGTAAAGCAGCCACTCATACAGCCAATGGCCTTCCCTGCAGGTGCCCAACATGGGCATGGTCCCTGTCTTCGCACAGGGTGCTGCCCTACCCCTGCCAAACCTCCCATCACAGAATGTCTTCTAGGGCATGCAATTTGATTTTTAAAGACTGATTTATTTGAGTTATAGAGAAAGAATGCAGGGAACAGAATTGGAAGTGGAACAGCTGGCACTGGAACTGGTGCCCATATGGGATGCCAGTATTGCAGGTAGTGGCTTTACCCACTCTGCCACAGCACTGACCCCAGGCCATGCTATTTGAGAAGTACCTGTAAAGTACTTTGGAAGGAGAGAGAGAGAGAGAAAGAGAGAGAGAATTAGTGAAGTCAGATTGTAGGGGTTGAGCTATAGCTAGGGGACCTTGGGCAAATTTGCTTAACTGCTCTGTGCCTCAATTTACTCATCTGCTAAATAGGGATACTTGTATTTAACCTTTTAAAAAAAGATTCCTTTATTTGAAAAGCAAATGAGAGGGAGAGAGAAGAAGGAAGGGGGGAAAGAGGGAGAGAAGAGAGATATTCTTTTAGGTGATTTTCTCATCAAATGGTCACAATGGTTGGGGCTAGGCCAGGCTGAAGCCAGGAGCCAGGAACATCATCTAGGTCTCCTACATGGGTGCAGAGCCCAAGCACTTGGGCCTTCCACGGTCTGCTTAGGTGTGTACCAGGCAGGAGCTGGATCAGAAGCAGATCACACAGGATTGAAATGGCACTCATATGGGCTGCTAGTTTTGCAGACAGTAGCCCAACCTACTACACTATAGCAGCAACCCTTAGCTTATTGGTTTAAGGGTTAAAACGCTATTCTATTTGGTGCAGAGGGAGGGTTGGGGCCACAGTCTCTGCTCATGTTATTCTCAGTCCTTGTCATGTTGATGAATCATTTCTCACAGCTTTAGTGTATTCAATTCTAACAATATGACAATAATGCAATATTGTCATGAGAACAAAACAAAAGTGGCAGGGTTGTGGTGGGGGCTAAAGGCAATAGCACAAAGCGCTTGGGCACGTCTGGCTTCTAGGAAGTGGGCAGTAAATGCATGGTAGCTCTTACTGTTGTCATCACGATGCACGATGGCAGCTAGACCGCATGCTGTGCGTACTGTTTGGTGACTAGGAGCGGCACCACAAAGTGCGGCTAGGGTCCTGATGCCACCAGACAAGCAGAGGGGGCCAGTGTGCGCGTGTCGGCGAGAGAGCAGCAGCTGGGAAGTGCAAGCGAGGATCCTCTTTGACTTTCATTCTGTAATGAAGGGCTAATGAGGAGGTCGGGAGCAGAGTTTTAGGGACAAGGTGGAATGGAGTGCCACCCGTGTCGTACTGACGACCTTTCAGATAAGCACTGCCGAGCTGCCATAGCTCCTCAAGGGGCCAGGCTTAATCAGGGTGCTGCCGCAGCTGCCACACTGAGTGCTTTTTCTGTATTTTTTAAAAAATATTATTCTTATTGATAGTTTTTTTAAAAAAAGTTATTTATTTTTATGTGAAAGGCAGAGAGACAGAGAAAGATCTTCCATCTGCTGGTTCACACCTCAAGTGGCCACAGTGGCTGGTGCTGAGCTGTCCAAAGCTCGGAGTCAGGAGTTTCCTCCAGGTCTCCCATGCGAGTGCAAGGCCCCAAGGGCCCAAGGCTGTGAGCCATCTTCTGCTGCTTTCCCAAGATTAAAGCAGGAGCTAGATCAGAAGTGGAACAACTGGGAAATGAACTGGTGCCCAATGGGATGCCAATGCCTCAGGCAGAGACTTAGTGTGCTATACCACTGCACCACCCCCACTTTCTTTACTTTTAATGATTTATTTATTTAGTCAAAAGGCAAGAAGAGAGAAGTAGGGGTAATGGGAGAGATGTTTTCCATCTGCTGATTCACTCCCAAATGCCTGCAACACCAGGGCTGTACCAGGGTGAAGCCAGGAGTCAGGAATTCTATCTAGCTCTCCCACATGGGTGACAGGAACCTGAGTAGCTGGCCATTGTCCAGTGCCTTCCCAGTCATGTTAGCAGGAACATGAATCAGAAGAGACCAGCCAGAGCTCCAAGTGGCCTTCCATCCTGTATGGGATGCGGGCAAGTCAAGCTTACTTTGCTGTGCTGCAGCGTTGGCTCTTGTGACTGCCTTCTCTGGGGCATTGGCTAACCCAGCAGGTGTTGAGCTGTTCTGCTATGCAAATCTTCGGTTCTTTCTGGCACATCTGGGCTTCACCCATATCTAACTGTCTGCCTACTTTAACAGTAGCACTAACTATAAATGTACTGCACTGTCATATATTGTATTTTATATCTTATTTAAAAGGATTTGTTCATTTTATTTATTTAAATTTTTTAAGATTTATTTTTTTATTGTAAAGTCAGATATGCAGAGAGCAGGAGAGACAGAGAGAGATAGAGCTTCTGTCTGTTGATTCACTCCCAAAGTAGATGCAACAGCTAGAGCTGAGCCGATCCAAAGCCAGGAACCAGGGGCTTCTTCCAGGTCTCCCATGTGGATGCAGGGTCCCAAGGCTTTGGGCCGTCCTCAGCTGCTTTCCCAGGCCACAGGCAGGGAGCTGGATGGGAAGCAGGGCTGCCAGCATTAGCACTGGTACCCATATGGGATCCCGGCGTGTGCAAGGCAAAGACTTTTGCCACTAAGTTACTGTGCCGGGCCCTGTTCATTTTATTTAAAAGGCAGAATTACATAGAGAGGGAAAAGCAGAGAGAGAGGGAGAGAGAGAGAGAGAGAGAGAGAAAGATTTTTTCCATCTGCTGGTTTATTCCCCAAATGGCTGCCGTGGCCAGAGCTGGGCCAGTATGAATCCAGGAGCCAGGAGCTTCTCCTGGGTTTCCCTTTTAGGTGTAGGGGACCTAAGACCTGGCCATGCTCTGTTGCTTTCCTAATCAGGGAGCTGGATAGTAAGTGGAGCAACTGGGACTCAAACCAGTGCTCATATGGGAAGCCCATCCTGCAGGCGGTGGCATTACCCACTATGCCGCTGTGTCGTCCCTGTTTTATATTACTGTAAAGGTGTGGTTAATATAAACAACATAATGCATAATGTGACATATTATACAAAATTCTTTCTTGGCATTTCTTTCCTCATAGAAGTTGGGAGTGCTGCTTTTATTTTCTGAACTGAAGTATAAGGAACACAGATGAGGTTTTGCAAAGAACTCACTTGCATTAACAACGGCTGAACATGTAGTTTAGTGAGTAGTTTGCAGACCCATCAATGCAGCAGTGGACTGAGAAAGTGAAGAGTGGGTCTGACAGCAGCCGAGCAGGCGAGCTGGGGGGTGAGGGGGCGGCTCCGTTTGTGGCTTGCCTCTGTTGTGTACGGACTCACCAAGTCAGCTCTCCTGGAGAAGCTTCAGATTTTAGGGTTTATCTCCAGGAGGCATCAGAGGCTGCTGGAAAGCAGGGCACCAGCAGAATTGGCAGCAGCTTTGCAGGGGAGACGTGGAGGGCAAGGAGTGGTGCTGGAGGCAGAGGGAGAATGGGGCCCGACTGTACACAGAGTCCCAGGTCAAACAGGTCAGGCTTAGGAAAGGAACCAATGGAAGGACTCATGATTGCCACTGGGGTTTGGGGCTGGGGCGCCAGGTAGCTGCTGTGTCAGCTGGCATGATAGGAAGAGAACTTGCCTTCCTGACAAGGTATCTGGGACAAAATAGTCCAGAAGACACAGAGGTGGATCGTACCTGGTGATACAGGAACTAGCAGAAGAGAGGAAGAGTGCCAGCTGCTGTCTGGCATATGGAAGAGGAAAAAGAGGAGGTGACAGTAGAAGATTTTTCTCCCTCTCTCTGTTTCTCTATTTAAGTTTGCCTTTCAGATTTAGAGAGAGGAGAAACAGAAAGATTTTCCATCCCTTGGTTCAATCCCCACATGGCCGTTGCCAGAGTTAAGCTGATCCAAAGCCAGGAGCCAAGAACTTCTTCCGGGTCTCCCAGGCGGTGCAGGGTCCAAAGCTTTGGGCCGTCCTCGACTGCTTTCCCGGGCCACAGGCAGGAAGCTGGAAGGGAAGCGGGGCTGCCGGGATAGAACCAGCTCCCATATGGGATCCCGGCACGTGCAAGGCGAGGATTTAGCCACCGAGGCATCTCGTCATGCCCACTAGGCTCTTTTGTAAAGGTTTATTTTATATATATTCATGAGTCAGAGTCACAGAAGAAAAAAAATTGCCCATCTACTGTAGGCTCACTCCACATTGACTGAAGCTGGGCCAGGCTGAAGCCAGGACCTAGAATTCTATCTGTGCCTCCCATGTGGGTGGCAGCTACTTACGTAATTATTTGAGCCATATTCTGCTGCTTTCCCAGGTACATCAGTAGGGAGCTTGGAGTGGAGTAGCCGGAATTTGAACTAGCGCCCATGTGGGATTCCGGGATTTTGTAAGTGCTTTAACTTGCATTGCTACTTGCACCTGGAGAAGCAGTGTTAGTGTAGGCGTGTTTAATGTGCGTGGAGTACTGACATTCATTCAAAAGGTGTGAGAAAGTGACTGTGCATGTGTGCACCCCCCCACACACAGAAATGCTTCTCATGAGTGGGCGGTGGGTCCACAAGGAGGAAGAGGTGGCGGAAGGGGAGCAGAGGGAGCACCAGCTGGCCACCCCTGGTCGTGGTCTCCAGTGGGAGAGACAGCCTTTCTATGGGGGGCAAGGGCAGGGGGTGGAGAATGCCTGTACGCATGGCGCCAGCTGGAAATCTCATGTTACTTCCCCAAAAT